CATCTGAAACTGAGAGCGGAGGGGAGTTGGAGGAAGCAGCTACAGGATGGACTTCAAAAAATGGTAAAGTGTTTTGGTCTCCCACAAACACTGAGACAAAGAAGAAAAAAGCCGGCCAAATACGGTATAAACATTTGGGCAAACTGTGATGTAAAATCATCCTACGCCTGGAGACTGCAGGTGTATACAGGCAAAGCAGCTGGCAGTCGTCCTGAAGTCAACCAGGGGATGAGGGTGGTCCTGGAGATGACAGAGGGGCAGTTTTTTCACGTCCTTCGCACTGGCTGAGGAGCTGCTCAGGAGAAAACTGGCCCTGGTTGGCACAATTCGCAGAAACAAGCCTGAGCTTCCCGCTATTTTTCTCCAGGCAAGAGGGAGAGCGATCCTCTCCTCCACCTTTGCCTTTACGAAGACCCACACACTGGTCTCTTACATCCCTCGACGGGGCAGGAATGTGCTGCTTCTAAGCACGAAACACCCCAGTCCAGACGTAAGCGACGAAATGAAGAGAAAGCCAGTCATAATCAAAGACTACAACCGATGCAAAGGAGGTGTCGACAACCTTGATAAGGTAGGTGCCATTAGGCATCAGTTACGCACACATGTATTCTTACTCTTATATTCTCGTCTGAAATATATGTAGGTTTTTTTCAAATGAGCATTTTCCTATAAAATAATTAATATTTGCATCATGAGAGAAAATGCTTGGAATCATTTATTCAAATTGTCTTGTTTTATGTTTTTGTTAGGTTGTTGCCATATGCAAGGACCACAGTCTGTCCATTTGAAGCCCCTGCTAGTCCTGAGCTGGACTCTCACAGCCAGACACACAGTGTTCATTCAATGTTCATCTTTGTAAAATAAATGTTTTTCTGGTTCAAAATGATCTTGTATTATTCATTTTAGTCAGGCTGGAGTAGTTTTAAAAGATTTACTCTTTGAAAGTGGGAAAAAATATGAATATATCATAATTTTATGGCAGTTTTTGTGAGGGTGGCATTTTCTGGCCTTAGGAACACGAGTGTGAGTTTTTGTTTAAACCTGACACTGCAAAAAAAATAACAATGCATTCAAATTAATTTTGCTGCCAATCATTGACCAATATAGGGACCTAATAATAACAATAATCAAATATTCCTTGAAATATATTTTTTGAAAATTATTCTAGTTTTTTGTTCTTTTCAATAAAAAAACTGTGGAGTTTTTTTAACAAACTGGCATTTAAAGGGTTAAATCTCCTTCTGTTTCGGTGTAACAGAGCTGACTCGACAGCTCACTGCTCTCTCTCTCTCTGCTGCAGCTGTGTCACCCGGACCTGTGGCTCAATTCCAAACCACACCACCCCGTGATGGAGTGAACTGTCTGTAGTCACACTCTCTGAATGAGGCTCCTTTCTTTCAGATGGAGGTTATAAGAACAGCAGCAAGCTTTGGGACAAACTCCCCTATCTCCGGTAGAAACAGGAAATGCCATCATTTTCGTACCAACGGTTTAAAATCAGCATTTCCTGGATTAGAAATAAAAAAAAAAAACTCTAAAAATCTTTTATGGCATATATTTTTTGTAAATAATAAATAATTTTGTTTTCAAATCTGATGTTTATAAGCTGCTTAGTTTTAGCAAAAGTCCATGTACCCAACTTTTACCGTTTTATAGACTAGACATGAGTAAATGATCCGAAGTTTAAACAAATACGAGGTAACCATGAAGTTGGTCACATCTGTTTGGAGATAATAGCTCTTGTTTTGCAGTTTATCAGTGAATGTTTCCACCCAACTACTTATAAACAGCGTGCTCATGACGGACAAACACAGCGTTGAGTCCGGTCAGATAGTGCAGCAGGTGAAGTCAGGACCGACTGACACATGGATGTATAATGAGAACGAATATGTGTGGATGCATTGTTTACCCAAAGCACTAGCAAATGCAATATATTGAAGACAATAATGCAGTCAGTCAAGAATTGGAGGACATTTTCCATCCCACCTATGATTTAAATAAAATATCTGAGCCCAAAATGGTAAAACACTTTTTGACAAGTTTATTTATTTGGTATTTACAGAGTCCTATCAGTTGTACGACATGTCAGTTTGTGAAATAAAAACCACCAAGCAGCTGTTATGTTCTGTTGCAATGACTATTTATTATTCGCCTGTATTACATTACACAACATATTAATGCTCACAAACAAGGAAAGGTGTAACAAGCATCCATTCACAAACACACCCCATTCACATATGAGCAAACCTTGATGTTAAATCCTACTTAGAAGCAGAAAATCCACCCTAAAACAGCACTCAATCACTATTCCTGTATGTGTGGAGCTTTTTTAATAAATAAGTCTGTCTAGAGATTCAAATTCAGAGCCCTGTGATTGAGACACATCTCAGGCAGGCGTTACCTTTTCTTACGGTTTCCAGGAAACTCAGCACATAACCGGAAACATTTTGGGCTGCAAGAATTCAAATACCAATAACTGAAGCATTTTCAAAAAGTGTGTCACATGCTTGTCCATTTAGCTTTGGGAGAGCTTCCGTTTTTTTTTTCGTAAAACAGTTTCACTTTTGAGTCCTTATGACTATTTGCATTGTTGTGGAGTTTAACAGATGTGTCTTTGGTAATAAACAAAAACCCAGACTTGATTGTTTCCAGATTGAGAAAAAAAACCAGGACTGTACTTAGAAATATAAGTTACTTGTACTTCCAGTATTTCCACATTATGCTACTTTATTTTTTACTCCACTACTTTTGTTTTACAGCTTTAGTTACAAGACACTTTGCAGATGAATGCAATTAATCAAATAGATTTTCATCTAATAAATGATTGTGTATTTTTGTAGGTTACCCAGCCGTAAATTAAATAATTAAATTAAACCATATCTTCACTAGATGCAACATCAAAGAGATAAACACAATAATGCATGAACACAAATGATAACATCCTTTAATATATATGATTCTCAAATGAACCATACTTTTACTTTTGGTACTTAGGTATATTTTGATGCCGTTACTTTTGTACTTTTACTTGATTACGAATTTGATGGAAGGACTTTTATTTGTGTTTTTCCCCTGTGCATCTTCTTGTTTCTCAAAGTGAACTGGACTCCACATTTTAGCAGCTGATGTCAACCGTCACTGACATGTAACCTAAGGCCATGAAGCTCCATCTTACTGACGGAGGAAACATAAAGAGTTACATAGAGTTATGCAAAGAAAGGAAGGTGCCGACTCCAATCGCACACACACATGCACCACAGATCAACGAAGGCATGTTTTCAAACTGTGTTGGATCTGTATCGTGCGCGGAGCATAAATGACTAAGAATTTATGCTTGCTCAACGTAGGAGGGCAAACTTTGTCTTTTGTGCTTCAACAGTAAACTGGTAGACTTGGGCAACGCCATTTTAAAACCAAGCGTTTAGATTGTGGGTTAAGATGACACTCTTCTGCGAATGATCGCTTTCGGTTTCACAACACATGCCAAGGCTTTCTTTACAAATCATCGCAATAGTAATGAGCATTTGTAGGTAAAGGAGATCACATACTCCACTCTGACATTATTTCTGAATGCATATGGTACATAGTCTAAATAAGAAGTGCAAATATAACTGGCTTGTATCAATGGTTAGGTGCATGCTTGGGTCAGTTATCCCACTGTGACTCGACACTGAAATGTTGACTTTAATTAAATGTATTATATCAACAGATTACAGTATTAGGTTAGTTGAAAGCAATAACATCAGGTACAACTTAACATTATTGCTTTCAACTGACCTAATACATACTTCATAGCAAGTCTCACATTAGTGACTAAAGCACAAACTTATTTCCTTTTTTGCCACATCTGTGTTGTTGGTGGTTTAAAGAAGCCCTTACTGTTTTCTGACCGACAAAACAAACACAGGACAGCTTTCACAAACCCACGGGACGATCTATCAATCCACCACCAATATTGTTTTTTTAATAGATGTGCAGGCAGACCGCAATACCATGAGGCCTGTGGTGTGTCTGCTGGTTATATATTATGTTGCAGTCTTTAGTCTGAAGTCCAGCTCTTGCAGTCTTTTCTGTTAATCCAACATCTGTAGGAGTTTTTGCATCAAGTGGTGTCAGTTTTCAGACACGTCGAGCAGGTTTGTCATTAATCATTACTCACGATTAAGCAGTAAAACAAACACGGATGTCCTTCTTCCTTTTTTCTGGTAACATCCATGATGAAAAGTAAATAAAGGAAGTGTGTGACTGGGCGACGTGGTTGTTTCCGGCATATAAAAGTAATCCTTACTCAAATAATATCAGATGATCCATGCTTCGTTACTTCCTTTTACACTGGAAAACCCATATTTTCACTTCCGGGTTTTCACCTTCACGTTGCTTCCTCATTGTTCTTAACACAAAAAACACCTTCGACCCTGTCCAGCAGGTCAACTGGGGGACTTGTGTGGCACACACACAAACACACACACAGTTCATCCAAAACTTTTTACAATGTCACTTTTGATATCAGCACCTAAATAATCCAGGATACAGGTTTGCAAGATGTAAGCTGTGTGCATAGTGTACGTGTGAAAAGCCTGTGGTGTGCCTGTGGGAATATAGATGTGTGTGTGTGTGTGTGTGTGTGTGTGTGTGTGTGTGTGTGTGTGTGTGTGTGTGTGTGTGTGTGTGTGTGTGTGTGTGTGTGTCAGTTGGTCTCATAGGAGGAGAGCAGCGCGGCGTCCACAGGCTCCATGCAGGAGGGGCAGGTGAAGGACCTCATCAGCCAGTCGTCTATACAGTCCATGTGGTAGATGTGCATGCAGGGCAGGAACCGGATGGGGTCTCCGTACTCGAAGTCCATCATACAGATCACACACCTGTGGGGGGGGGAACACAGAAACATGTCATTAGGGGCTGATTGGACCGCACAGAAAAAAGAGCATGAAGCTACATAGACTTGAATGGTTTGCGGTGCATAGTTCAATTAAAGAGGCCCTGTTGGAGCCAGAATTTTGTTTTTATAAGAAAGGCCACCTAATTGTGACGTCTGTAGTCAACACACTATCAAAGACTACAATTCCCACGGCGCCTCCTCTAAAAGTGACAGTGATTGACAACCTGTCAGAAAGACGCCGTCGAGGAACAGTTTTTAACCGTCCGATTACCCTTTAAGTTATGAAGTTATATATCAAGAAATAATCAACATCTAAGTTGTTTGTTATTTTATTTGAGTTTTGCCTTTTTGTTTCGACTCTTGTAAAGGCCTCGTTTCTTTGTTGCATGTGTAAACGTTATTTTATTTTGATCGCATAATATCATTCAAACCATCGAAGGCCAAGCAACTCTTCAACTGTAAGTAATATAAAGGGAAGAAAACGGGTAAAACATTTGTGTTTAAGGCTTCTAGTGGCTTGATAGGAAAAACAAGGAAGGAAGCCACGACAGGCCCTATTTTGCTTTTTGACATCACTATGTTACACTCACACTTTAATTAGATTGTTTCAGAAACTTGAATTCATTTCCTTCCTGTTCTCAGACAGTGACTTACATAATGTTCTTATATCATGTTTCAGACCTACAGACGCCCTGATCTCTGCAGTGTCTCTCCTGTGTGTAGCTCCCACTCTCGAGTGTGACCCCCCCCAGCGGTTCTACTCACTCTCTGATCTTCTTCTCAGAGCCGTCCCTCCCCGGGTCGTACACCCCCTTCGGGAGGTGCTGGATGAGCCCGATTCTCTGAGCGATGCGGATCTGCTCCTCCTCCGTCAGCTGAGAGGCCAGTCGGGACCGGCTGGGCGTCGGGTGATAGACCGGCACATGGATCTGCTCCTGAGAGAGAGAGAGAGAAAGAGAGAGAGAGACAAGGCAAGTTTAATTATAGAGCACTTTTCAACACAAGGCAATTCAAAGTGCTTTTACAAAAATGAAAGACATTCAGAGCTAAGATAACAAAACAGTACGTGAATAAAAGTTACAGTGCAGTGTAAGATGTGAATAGTTAAAAGTCTTCAGCATGGATTTAAAAGTAGTAAGAGTTGCAGCGGACCTGCAGGTTTCTGGGAGTTTGTTCCAGATATTTGGAAATATCCCAAGCTCAAGTCATCACATTCCTCTACCCCTAGTCCAGGAAATGATAGTTCAATGGGAGTAACAGTTTATGCAAAGAGGTCATTTCAGGAATCTCACCACAGCTGCTTCAATGTTTTTTGATGACTGCAGTGCCACATCAAACACTGATCCTCCCAATGAATCATTTCATTGCTTGCTCTACAAAAATGTCAAGAGTATTTAAAATGCCTCTAACTATAGTCCAAAACTCAAGAATGCCCCGGTCACATGAGGCGAGAGAGCTGCAGAGCATTCTCATATCTGATGAGCAAAAAAAAGAGGATGTTT